ATTTTAAAATATTAAAATTATTTAGGGTGATTGTTTAATGTTATTAATAACTGACCATAATTGTTACTAAAAATGAAAAAATAATTTATATTTATTATTTAATAAATTAAAATTAATTTGTACATTTATATTTTTAAATATCACTTAATTATTTAAAAATAATAATAATATTTCTATAACCTTAACACTTTAACAGGTAGCACTATAACCAATCCTCTGTGCTAGTAATACTTCCTTTTTGTCCAAAGATGGAATTTCAAATTTTATAATTCTATTATATTATAGTTTAGGACCCAATGAGTGTTTTTTTCAACATTTTGAGTTAAATATTATTGAGTTTATTGAACCTAAGTTCGGAGATAAAGGAGAACTTTGGATTCCATTTTCGCAAATGAACGATTATTTCGTATTGTTTTAAGGTATTGTGCTTTTGGCTTTAATAACACTTTTTAGTGTTTTAATTTTTGTTTTTATGTGTTTTCATTATTTGAAAAATATATAAAATATTAATTAAAGTATATATTAAATATATTTTATATGTTTTTATGATATTAAAAATATATATAAAAAATCAATTATTACAATTATAAGTTAGCACTCTCAAATTAAGTTATATGCATTGTAAACATTATAGTATTATACCTTATTATTATAGTATTTTTTTTTTATCAAAATGTTGAATTATAAATTAATATATAAACATTTGTATATATAAATAAAAATTATTAAATTTTAAATTTTCAAAATAAAATAAAAGAAAAACTAAGATCATTAATATCAAGATGTACAATAATTACATAATAAATTTAATTAAATTAAAATTTATATTATATTTTACATATTTAATATTACCATGTCTTTTTTCTTTTCTTTTCTTTAAAAACATGTTCCATCTCTAAACTAATTTTTGAAAATTAAGAGCACCTTTTAAAAAGTTACATCTACATCATATTCAGATTTTTACGTAAAAGAAAATCTTTTTAACTTGAGAAAAAAAAAACTTATGCAAAATAAAAATTCAATTTGATTTCTGTGTTTCTTCTATGTCATCGTTCACCGACATCAAGTGCTTATAAATTATATTCTACAAAAAAAAAAAGTGCTTGTAAATTATGATAGGAAATTTAAATAAAAAGAAGGAATATAATTTAAGGATTATTCTTTATTTTTTATATTATATTTTCATATAATTTACGTATTATTTAAATAATTAATTATTTTTATTTATTTAAAATATATAATATTAAATAATATATAAAAAAATTATCTAAAAAATAAAAAAATTATTCTGATATCATTTTATAAATAATTGGAGTTTCTCATGATGACTAAGAAGTAAAACGAAAGGCCGGGCCCGTGAGCCAGTCAAATTATAAAAGCCCCAGCCCTACCCCTACTTGGCTGCTGCTGCTGCTAAATTTCTCCGTATACCACGCATCCCCGTAAAACTGCAGGACAAACAGGGTTTAAGTTCCGAGGTCATTCTGCCTCCCTCTCGTCTGAACTTCTCAAACCCAATTCTCAAAAATAAAAATCTTACTTTTTAGACTTAATGGATTGATCTCAAATTTTAAGTACTTAGATGAGATAATCAAAGTTTTGAGTTCTATTATCATCGTGAACTCCATCAAAAAATGACTTGATAGCCGCGCGTTTTATTTGAGGGACTGAAATGTTCACTGGTCTGGGAATCGAATCGTCAGTTGTTAACAACTAATTTATCCTAACTTCTTAACCGTTACTTTTGTCAACAATTCTCAAAAATAGCAATGCTAGGGGCACTCGCCTCCTGCACTCTCCGGCCGACACTTTCTCTTTTACTGGGTCACGTTATTTTGGTTTCGAGAGGTTGTGCTGACAGCTTTAAAGAAGCTTACGTGGCCTAATGAAAGGGGAAGTATTGGCCAGAGAGTGCAGAAAGCGAGTGCTCCTAGCACTGCTTTTCCCAAAAATTGAGTGTAGTTATTCTCATGTATTATTAATTATTTTTAATATTAAAATTAATATTTTAAAATATAATGTATAAAAATTTATATAGCAATAATTTTGTTTTCAAAATTTCCTACTAGTATTTTTTACTTTAATTTAGTGTAAAAATATCTCAGCTCAGTTTTTGCACATATTAAATATATTAATTTAATGTATTTTAAAAACTTAATTTTTAAAATAATAATTGTGAAATTTATATTTTAAATTTAATTTATAAAATGATATTTATTTAATTAGTATATTGAAACATTTGAGTTAATAAAAAAAAACCTTTTAACAATAGTTACAAAAATTATAAAACAAAAAATTAAGATATCATCTTATTTAAAAGATCAAGGCTCTGAATTACAACCGCACCTGGCCTAGAGGCTTACTAGCATTAGTCAATCAACTAGTGCACTCCCCCTTCTCTTTGGACCGGTTTTGAACCCATCTTTTGTTAAAATATTCAAAAAATAAAAAGACTTTGAATTACAACCATGTGATATAATAAATGAGATTTAACTAAAATTTATGTTTTATTTATTTATTTTATAATAATTATGATTGAATATTTTAATATTTTAAATATTAAAATATTTTTAAAATAATTTAAACAACCTTATTTAAAAAGTGTAATAAATAAAGTTAGATAAAAGCAAAAAAATTGATGTTGTTACAAATTAAAAACTAAATTGTTAAAATCACTAATTTTACAAGCTTCTTCACCACATTTTAAGATGGTTTAAGTTTATTAACATTAACCATTTTATTTGTAACCATTGTTGTCAAAATCTAGATTTAAATTTTAAAATCTTACGATTTTACGATTTCAGTAAGACATTTCGTGTAAAATCTATACTAAAATCTGAAATTTATAAAATCTAGATTTTACCGT